AGGTGTCACAGATAGAGAAGTCTAGGATACAGAAATGTATAGGTGTCACAGATAGAGAAGTCTAGGATACAGAAATGTACAGGTGTCACAGATAGAGAAGTCTAGGATACAGAAATGTATGAGTGGTATAGTTAAGGGTAATCAAGACTCTGCAAAAATGTAACCTAGAATCTACATAAACTTAGAGGCAGAGTATATTTTCCTGATGATTAAGCCCTATTTTTTTTCATCAAGACTATATTCTACTTAATAAAACAAGTGCAAATAAGAAAAACATATTTATTGAAAAATCTGAAGGGTTCACAAAATAGAGAGGTAGCCGGAAACTATTTTACTTGACTTTTTTTATTACTTACCAGGTAACCTGCCCTGTGGGGAAATGATGGTGTATAACGCTGACAGAACTGTAGAAGGCTTTGTCTACCCTAAAGAGAGAGGTATTATACATCATTTCCACTCCTTAGTAACACTATTAATTAGCCTGTGCCATGAAAGTGGGAGGTCTTTATAAGGCATCATCCATGTCCATTTGTTACCTGTGTTCGTGCATCGACGTGATGTCATTGCTTTACCATCTTAGTCTTTTAACTTTTTTTCCCTACAAACTTTTATACAAGTAAGATATTTAAAACACAAATTTCTTGAATGAGTTTGCATTCCATGAACAAACTGTTTTGCTGAATATTGTCTATTATAAAATATGAGTTGAATACATGCACCTGAACACTTGCATGAATTTTAATTGATTTAAAAACAGATGATTACTGAAATATACAATTACACATGGTTGAAATTCTCATGGATTTCTATTTTTATTTTTTTTTCCTTTCGCAAGGTTATGAGATACTGGCCAACAGGATTCGGACTGAAGGGTTTATGGGGGTGAAAGCCTTCTTCTGGGCAGAGCTGACCGGTGACAGTGACGGCTCCTTCCGAATATTCCACGGGCGGTGTGCACCCTACCAACAATGGTAGCTGGCTTCCTCATTCACAAAGTTGGTTAAAAAGTGACGTGAACACAACTATTGTAGGAAACAGAAAAAGGCAAGTGTTCATCAATGTTTCCTTCCAATTCTAATAAGTGGAGATTGTATTGAAGCCACACTGACACAAAAAGACTCTATGATAAGATATCGATTTCGTTTTTTCCCTATTTAAATGTTATTGGTAGCTTTCTCATGTACTGCCAAGTATCAAGATTTATGAAAATATGTTGTTAGTTTTGTATTTACCATTGTATCAAATTGAGACATATTGAATGCAGCCATTATTACCAAAGTTGAACAAATTTATAAGATATCATGCAATGTATTAAAGATTTGAAATCTACATTTATAAAATATCATAATTAATCAAATGGTTTTTATACTCACAATGATATTTGAGTTGATTTATGGTGTTTTGTGTTTCTGTTCCTCACAAGGTATGTGGTTTATTCTAGTCTCCAGCATTTTACTGATGACATTTTCATAGCATCCTGACTCTGTCTCTCCTCCTGATAAATAGATGATCTTACGTGAGTACCATGTCATATTGAATTTATCAAACGAGTTCAATAATTTGTTATAACAAGTGTCATATTAAATTATTGAACAAGTTTAATAAATTTAATATGACATGGACATGAATGTTAGATTCTATTTATCACATAGCATTCATAATTTGGAAAACAACTTGAAACAGTACAATTATGTGTTATCAGCTGACTCTATATAGGTCAAAACCAAAGTACTTCAATCGTAGCATTGTCGTTCTGCACAGTGCGAAGTAGTTCAATATTTATTTTTAAATATTGAAATGAACAGTTTCAAATGCTATGAAAATCATAAGGATATAATAAACATTTCAAATTCAATTAACATAACAGTAAATGTATTGTGTGATATTAGTAAATAAATTAGTACCAGTAGAGGCACAGGAAGGTTCCCACAGTGTGACCAATCGTAGTACATTTAGGTTTTATTACATGTGTGTATTTATACTATATTTATGACACATAGTAAAACGGGTCAGTTATTCAATAAAGTAAGATGGCTTTACTAAAGGGTTTAACTTTAATTTTGTGCACATTTTATTGACTGATCCTAAGCTTCCTGTTGGTGAAGACATGAAGTCATGATTGATGCTCAATGCAAATTCATACAAAAATATTTGTCACGCAAATTGTTAGTGAACTGCCATTTTTTTTCTTTAATCGTCCATCCGCCGTCAGAAATCATCAAACTAGGATCTTTGTGCACTGACTTTAGTGTCCTCAAGGATATGCGTTACCTTGTACATTATAAAACTTACTTGTGTGAGAGTAATTGCCATTAACTTTTTTTTAAAGTTCAAAAAATTTCTTGATAGATATTTTACAGATTTCTTTATGTGGAGGGTAAATAAGACATCAAAATACAGTATATCTATTATCTTGTTCAGTACTCTTTAAAAAAGTTGTCAAGCAATGAAGTCCAAGAAAGTTGATTCTGACCTTATAGAGAGGCCGTTAGGTCAGGATTAGTGTTACTATAAATAGATTTACAGTTTCTGTGCATTATGTGTGACTTTTAACCCCATAGATTCATTTTCATGTTGAAGGTCAAGGCCATTACGTGTTACTATTAAGACCGAGGGATGCATGCATCTTTTCAATATATTGCAGGTCAAAGTAATTCAGCATCAAAGTGATACACAAAAATGCTAGCAACTTTTTTTCCTCAAAAACTGAAGTAAGAGGTCAATGTCAGCATTGTTGTACATGTAACTTTAGATTCTGTTTTACACTGTATGTATAATTATGATGAGCTATAACCTCGAACCTTTGTTGTACATGTAACTTTAGATTCTGTTTTACACTGTATGTATAATTATGATGAGCTATAACCTCGAACCTTTGTTGTAATTGATACCATATATATCAGTCAAGTTGTTTTTGTTTTACAGTCAAGACTCATTTATCTGTGCCTAGTTTAAACCCATTGGATGGATTTTCCCTCTTGTCTAGATCTGTTATTTACATGTCTTATTTTACATATTTGAAGAAAAAAAACAACATTTTTGATGTATGACTTGCGAGTGTTGTATCACTGAACATGTCCATGGCCAGTCCTTGATTTATTGATGTATTGTACAATGACTTGAGATGAAAACAAAAACAGTATATTTGTAGGCCATAAGGAGGTATTTCAGTGGGATAGAGAGATTTACCTGTTACTGTTACTGTTCAATGTCCCTGGTAGAGTGCCAAATGTTGCCCTTGTACAGTTTAATAATTATGTCAAAAGTTTCTCTAGGGAGTTTGTTACATGTGTCCGATGTTTCACTGGTAGAATTTGTCAATTGGATCCAATGTCTCACCAGTTTGCCAACAATGTCCAGCTTCCCTGGTATATTATCACGTGGTGTATCGTGTAAAACTTGTGCATTAATCCAATATTCCGCAGAAGAGGAAACAATAGTTATGTCAAGTGTTTCCGTAGTAAACAAACTACATCAGATGTCTCTTATAGAGTGAACCATACTTCTCCTCAATTGTTTACCATTAATGTTGAGTGCTTCCATTATAGTTTAATACTAAAATAACAATCATCTTTGTCATATAATTTACTTGTTATGTCCCATTTCCACAGTAGTGTACCAAATATGTTCGTATTTCTAGTCCATACAAAAAGAAAGTGCTCGATTCATCTTACATTCCACAACTGTTAGAATGTTGTATATTAATGTCTATATTTATTTTGTTATTGAAACCGAGAGTTCAGTTTTTATACTTTTTTATAGAAATAAAGTTGTTTGTTTAAACTTGTATTAAAACGTTGTTGTCACTCATGATGAAGCCTTATATTTCCCAAGTACATGTATTGCCTGAAAGTGAAATAGGTTTCTGTGAACTCATCAGAACCAATCCATTTGCTTTGGATTACCCTATTCAGCTACATTGTAATATACAAGATGTACATGTATATCAGATTGGACTAAATTGATCAAAGGCAACCAGGGCCCATATTCATGAAACTGTTCTCATTCTCAAGTATGGATTCTGTGCTCAAACCTACTCGTCTTGTAACTGGCTTATATCATGTGACAAGGTCAAAAAGTTTAAACATCAAAAGCTGTAAAAAAAATTGTATTTGGATCTAAATCTTATCAAATTTCTTCCAGATTATTGACAAATGTGGACTTTCATCAACTGATCACAAGAGTAAGAAATCGGGCTTGAGCACAAAACCGCAGTTTAAGCACGAGTACACTTTCATGAATACAAGCCCAGGTAGCTGTATTGGTTTGAACGTCCATCTAGACTTAACCCTTTCACCCCTATGTAACTTTAGTAGACTCTACCATGCATTGATATGGATAAGTCCATTATGGTCTTCAGTGGTGAAAGGGTTAATAGAAGAAACTAGGCTGGAATCCAAGTCTGGCCATTGCACATTGCATTTTTCCTGTTACATAAGTGCCCAGGGAGCTAAGTAATTAAGGTCCTCTTACAATTCTAAAACAAGCTGAATATGTTTAAAATAATTGGTATGAAGATAAAGTAAAGATATAGCACTCCATGGTAGGTGCTGTAAGTACATAAGAAATTTCAGAAAGATCCATCCAGTACTTGAGATATAACGAGAACAAACTTCAAACAAAGCCCCACCCCTAAGGGGGGGGGGGTCATACCTACCGCTTATACAAACTTGAGTCCCCTTGACCAAAGGATGCTCCAGACTAAATAAAGATAAAATCCCTTAATCCAGATGGTCGAAGAATTTGCTATATTTCCCCTATTGGGCCCCACACCTCACATCAGGGGGGGGGGGGGGGGGGGGG